TCCCTTTTGCGACCTTTTGACGAGCGAAGTCAATAGTGGGGAACCAGATTCGCTTAACAGTTGGGTTACTAATTTACCAGCTGTGATTTGCTTAACAACTGTGCCGAGGAAGGTCGTAAAATGAGGCAAAACTCACTTATGTCTCGCTGGGCCACATAAATTTGGGGTGTCGTAAGTCAAGGACTAGCTATACTACACACAGATTTGGGGCTGCTGTTTTGGTTTCCGGCCAGCTGCTTTTACAGGCACTGGAGCACCAAAAACAGCCCAAAAAAGGGCCTGAAAACCGCCCCAAACAGCCAGAAATTGACTAGAAAAATGGCCTGAAAAATGGCCAAAACCCAGGCTGTTTTCATACAGTTTTTCAGGCTGTGTTCAGGCTGTTGTCAGGCCAAATATGCCCCCAAAACAGCCTGAAAACAGCTCCAAAATGGTCTGAAAACGGCCCAAAAAATGGCCAAAAACCAGGCCGTTTTTCAGGCCTTTTTCAGACTGTTTTGGGGTTGTGTTCAGGCTGTTTTCAGGTCAAAAATGCCCCCAAAATGGCCTAAAATGTCCCCAAAATGGCATGAAAACACCCCCCAAATGGCCTGAAAACCAGCCTGAAAATGGCCCAAAAATGGCCCCAAAACCAGCCTGAAAACCAGCCTGAAAATGGCCCAAAAATGGCCTGAAAACGGCCCCAAACAGTCTGAAATCGACTAGAAAAATGGCCTGAAAAAAAGGCCCCCAAAATGGCCAAAACCCAGGCCGTTTTCATATAGTTTTTCAGGCTGTGTTCAGGCCGTTGTCAGGCCGAATATGCGCAAAAAACAGCCTGAAAATGGCCCCCCAAAACGGCCTGAAAACAGCCCCAAAAATGGTCTGAAAACGGCCCGAAAAATGGCCCAAAACCAGGCCGTTTTTCAGACTGTTTTTGGGCTGTGTCCAAGCTGTTTTCAGGTCAAATATGGCCCCAAAAATGGCCTAAAATGTCCCAAAAATGGCATGAAAACACCCCCAAAATGGCCTGAATAACAGCCTGAAAATGGCCCAAAAATGACCTGAAAACGGCCCCAAAAACAGCCTGAAAATGGTCCAGAAAATGGCCTGAAAACAGCTTTAAAAAAGGCATGCGCCACCGGCCAGCTGGGCTTCGGGTTTCCAGCACTCTGGCATGCGCACATGCCGAAAACATTCGGCATCACTGGTATAGGGTCTTCTGCGTCGGTGGGGGCTTGGATGAGATGACCTACCTATAAGATCCCTTCCAACTCTGATAATCTAAACAAACAAACAAAAAAACCAACCCCAAGATTTTGCTTCAACCTTTCTGGCCTTCGGTGAAGCTTTGAAGATCCGGTTTTCCCACCCCGAGTGCTGCGAGAACATGATTCGATGCTGCACATCAGAAGGTTAACTTGGTGCCAAAGCTTTTCATGTTTCTAATGAGTTGGGTTTTATGATCGTTTTAATGTGGCTTTGAACGCCGCTTTAGTTTCGGATTGGGAGACTCCCAGAGCTGGTTAGAAGCTGGACGGCTCTTTGCATGTTTAATTTCAATTAACCACATTGAAATCATCCATATAACTGGACATCTTCGGATCGAGGCGTGTCCATCTTCCAACAAAAATATCCAAATAAAATAAAAATTATTATTATAAAAGAAGCAAGGCCTGGTGAGACCATAAAACAGGGAATGATAGAAAAGGAAGAAGCTAAATTGCTCGGGGATTTTAGAAGCCAGACAGGCACCTGCTACACAACTTAATAATCTATAGATATAAAAGCGAAATGCCACTCACGCATCCTCACAACATCTCCAGAACCGTAAAGCCTACAAACTTGAAATTTGGCCCGTAGGTTCCTCTTGGCTTCTAGGGGCTCCCTAAGAAAGGATTTTTCCAAATGACCTTCAGAGCATTTACAGTATTTCCTATATTATTATTATTATTATTAACACGCTCTGATGCTAAGGAGTTCTACTCCCTCTCCCCACCTGAACAGAAATCTCTTCCAAATGCAAAACACAAGCAGAGGAGTTTCAGTTTCAGAGCACCAAGCAGGTTTAGTACAGAATAGTTGAGCTAAGCCACGCCCAGGCTCCTTGCTGTCTCCTTGCTCACACAGCAAATATGCTTTCAGTTTCCAAACAGCCCTCAGCTCCCTCACACACTGACAGGACGCTAGCCAGCTGAATCCCCATGGATGCTGGTAGGCAGAATTTTTTTCTCCTTATTTTCTTCCCCCAAAACTAAGTCTAACCACATAGTTTTGTAGCGGAGCATGGATACAGAGCTAGCTGTCAATAAGAACGACTGAAAAGTCTGTATAGTGGATGTGGCGGTACCTAGAATAGAAGAGAAGGAACTACCCCCTCCCCCAAAAAGGGTAATCCTCGACTTACGACCACAACTGAGCCCAAAATTTCCATTGTTCAGTGAGACATTGCTTATGTGAGTTTCGCACGGTTTTACGACCTTTCTTGCCACAGTTGTTAAGTGAATCACTGCCGTTATTCATTTAGTAACAAGGTTGTTAAGTGGATTTGACTTTCCCCACTGACTTGGCTTGTCAGAAAGTCGCGAAAGGGGATCGCATGATCCCGGGATAGTGCAGCCGTCATAAATGTGAATCAGCTGTCAAGCATCGGAATGTAAATCATGTGACCATGGGGGTCCTAAGTGTGAAAAATGGTCATAAGTTACTTTTTCCCCCAGTGCCGTCGTAACTTCAAACGGTCACTAAGTGGACTGTTGCAAGTTGAGGACTACCTGTAATCCATTTGTTAAGTGAATCTGGCTTCCCCATTGACTTTATCGGAAGGTGGCCAACGGGGCTCACGTGACCCCGGGACACTGCGACCGTCATAAATATGAACCAGCTGCCGAGCATCTGATTTTGTGAAAAACGGTCCTCAAGTCACATTTTTCACTGCTGTTTGTAACTTCGAACAGTCACTAAAGGAACTGCTGTAACTCAAGGACTACCGGTACAAAGACCTGCAAATAGAAAGAGAGTGACGGTGGCAGAAGAAAGCAAAGGTAGCACCAAAAGTGACAGCCGCGTGGGGCGAAATCCCCAAACTTCTGGAGCAGGAACCAGAACACCATGGGCACCGACAAATTCACCATCAGAACTTAACAGCTACAGTGATTCGCTTAACGACGGTGGCAAGAAGGATGGAAAAACGGGGGAAGGCTCACTTTAAACAACTGTTGCATTATGGAGCAGGAGGCTGACGCAGGGCAAAAAAACATCCTGCAGCCAAGAAGGCTCCACATCTATTTGCACCATCCAGATAAAGAGAAAAACCTCCAAGCGGCCTCAACGACCCTCTAAAAAGGTGCAAATGACCAGCTGCCTGCAAGGAGTATAAATCCTTCCCTTCCCCACCATCCAGTCAGAGCCGAAGAAGCTTCTTGGATGAGAAGCGAAACGTCTTCAAAAGAAAAACAAGAAAGTCCAGTTGCCTCTTGAATTTTTTTTTAAAAAATGCACCTTTGGGACAACCATGACCTGGATGACGGAGAATCTCCACAGACATGTATGTCTGTGGTCACATTCTTTCCGATACCGTGGGTCACTTTGAACGGTCACTAAATGCTAAATGGCGTAAGTCGAGGACTGCCTGTAGTTGGGCATTTAAGCGCACTGAACTCTTCTCCCAAACTGTACGAGGAGACCAACTCCCGCCCAGCTCCACTTGAGGTCACCCTTCTGAAAGTGGGGGCACCGAGGATCATCTAGCTGCC